CTCCTCCTTTTTCTTTTTTCTTTTTTCTTTTTCTTCTGTTTTTCCTTTGCGAGTTACGCGGCAAAAGATAGGTAGGCGATATTCTTTTTGAAGTCATGTACGGGACACAGGGCGATAGCCAGGAACTGAGTCTGCCAGTTTAAAACAGGGCGTTACCGAGATGTTTTTTTCGAGCGGCAACGACAACAACAAGCGAAGGCCAGAAGTCGGCGGGGTATAAAACTGGGAACGGGCACTGTAGCAATACATCATTTGCATAACTCGAACCGGCAGTCTGAAGTGACCTTCTCGATCAGACAAACGGGAGTCCGACCAAGCGGTGGCCGTCTGACAGCATGAATTTCTTCACGGACCTGGATCCCGTCGACGACTCGATGGAGCCCGAAGAATCGGTATGCCCCGCACGACCCTTGACGTTTCCTATGTCAGGTGCATGGCACTGGCATCAGCACACGGCAGCCGGCGGCACACAGCGGCAACAGGGTTGGGGGCAACCGCAGCACAGCGCAACGCATAGCCGACTAGCATGGCGGATAACGACGGGGCGGGAGGGTGCAGGACGGAGGAAAATGTAGCCATCTACGCCTTCGTCACGTACCTCGCATTCCTAGCAGGCATAGCTCTTCTAAGCTTCATTGCGATTCTGTCGCCGCAACCGTCCCCGCCCCCCCTCTGGTCTGAACCCTCCTCTTCACCCCCCCCMCYCCCCCCCYCCYCCCCCTCATTCCACCTGCCCCTCTCTCCCGCAGCCCACCGATCAGGTGCGCTGTCGAGACTCACTCTACGATCCGCCATTGCGGGCGGCCCATGTTCCTAATGCACCATCCCCGCCGCCCCCTCCACCTCCTCCGCCTCCCCCTCCTCCTCCTTCTCCCCCTCCTCCTCCACCACAACCACCTCCACCTCCTTCCCCTCCCCCATACCCCCCCTCACCCCCATCTGCCCCCCTCCCCTCAGATGCCAACGACGATTCCCTCTCTCCCCACTTCTCGTCTCCCTGCTCCTCACCAGCAGCAGGCCCCTGCATGCAGCGAACTTCAGTTGTCTTTTTTGGCACATCTACGCTTACGCTGGCACTGATGCCCAATGCGCTACTCAGCGGAGCCATGGTTTGGGCTTGCCAAACTGAACGAGTGCTCCTCGCCCCGGCCAAGCTTGCATCAGCACTTGTCTGCTTCTCCATAGCGTACGCGGCGGTTTCTTTGGCATGTGCGGCTTGTGCCACGATCACCGGAGGAATGTTGTTGCTTCGGTTTTTTTCGAGCTAATGGCGTGCAGGGAGAAATCTATTCCCCCTTCCTTCTTTTTTCCCCCCTCCCCCTC